TCTGACGTGCAGCAAACACGGCGGCTGGTGCAGGAGCTGTGCAAACCAGCCCCAGGCCTTTGCGTGCTGGGATGGAGCTTGGCTAAGGGGCTCAGCCTCCACAGAGGGCTCTTTGAGCATGTGCCTTGATTTCCTGAGGTTTAAGGAATAAGTTTTATATTCTAGGTTTGATTTTTTTTGCACTTGGCACGGAGCTGGTCCCACCGATCGCCTCAAAAGCCTTATTGTGCTGCAGCCAGCTCTGATTTCCCTAGGACAATACCTGTGCCCCTGCTGCTGTCTCTTAACATCACAGAAGCAGCTTCAAATGCAGCAGGGAGGTAAAACGTGAGGATAATTGTCAATAAATAGATCTTTTACGTTACTGAATGTCTGCTTTCAGTCCTCAACAAAGAGCTGGAGAAGTTCAAGGAGTTATCTCTCATGACCAGGGATGGAAACTCCTCTTGCTTGGGCTGTTCCCAACCAGACTGGGCTAAAAGGTCCTGTGGGAAACTCTGTGTGGAGATGTGTGTGATTTAGGGGATGGGATGGGATGTGGTGACTGAGGAAGAGATAGCTACCAGTGTGTCTGCAGAAAGCTGCTTTCCAGGTTCAGGGGAAGCCTGTGTGCTGGTTTGCAAGGGAGATGGTTAATAAGAACATCATTAGCATCTGATAAGTGTGTTTCATCTGTGTGCTGCTCAGACATTAACTCCTCAGCATGTGACCTGCTTCTGGCTAGATGGCTCCTACCACACAGGATCTGGGACAGGTCTCTCCTGTCTGTTCAGACGTTGCCCACAGACCAAGACAGGATGGTGGTTTGCATAGAGCATCTGCTGGCAGGTTCCTGCTCCCACCTCTTGTCCCACGGTAGCACCATCCTGCCGTGGAGCCTCCCAGCAGACCTGAGCATCTCTGCTGGACCAGGGACCTCCACGTGTGATGTGACCTCCTCAGAAATCAGCCCTGACAGGCTCAGAAGATGGTTGGACTCTCGACTTAGTTTAAACTGATGGATTTTTCTTTTCTTCAGGGTTCCTTTACACTATCACTCACCCATCTCCCTCTCCTGTGGTGTTGCCATGTTGCTTCCTTTGCTTTTCATCCTTTGTCTTTAACCTTTTTCATTTCCAGGACCTCTCACTCTGCAGAAAGAGGAGATTCCCAGCAGAGGTGAGGTCCGAGCAGGAGCCTCCCTTGCCACGCTCCTGGAGCAGCACACATGGAGCAGCTCTGCCAGACCAGGGCTGCTCAGCAGCTTCCCCAAACCTCATACCCACTTGGACTCCCCCAGGACCCACTGACCTCACTGGTGAAAGGTCAGGGGGGAGAACAACACATCAGGTGTCTGTGTGATCCTACAGGTCTGAGGATGCTTTAACTTTTCATGACTACATGGCCTGGGGCTCTGTGGAGCTTTGAGGTCCCAGCTCAGCCCATGACACTGTGACTGGGAGCCCCCCAGCCTGACACTGTCCCTTCTCTGTCCCCTTTAGCTGTCCAGGAGGAGAGGCAGAGGGGGAAGGACCGCAACGAGAACGAGGTGGAGTCCACGAGTAGTGCCAACGAGGACATGCCCGTGGAGAAGATCTTGGAAGCTGAACTGGCTGTGGAGCCAAAGACAGAGACATACATTGATGCAAACATGGGCTTGACGCCGAGCTCGGTGAGACCCCTCCCCTGGGCCCTGGGGACATCAGGGATGGCTCGTGGGGCATCAGGAAGGACCTGGCACGGAGACAGGAGCAAGCTTAGGTCAGCGTGGGGTTATAGTGTGGGAGAAGGAACAGTGCTCAGAAAGGCAGTGGCTTAACTGCATTAAGAGGTTGTGTTTGAGCTTGGGTGAAAGCCTGAGGACAGCAAACACCTCTGCACAGCCCCCAGCACGGGCACTTTGCTGCCTCACAGCCATGGAGAAGGAGCAGATGCTGTAAGGCTTAATTAGAAGGACTCACAGATGATTTTATGTCACTTCACAGCCCTTAGTTCTAAAGGCAAGAAGACACTCCATGTCCTGAAGAGCTCAGAGGCCAAGCAAGCCAATAAATAGACCTGTGTGGCTGAAGTGCAAAGAGATAAGAGCTGTAAAACGAGGATGTGACTTTTCACATGCAGAATTATACAGCTGCTCCTCTCTAAGAAGAGAGAATCTAGAGAAGTCTGTAGGGACAGCAGGATTCAC